AAGAAAGGAAAGAAGAGAAGAGAAGGAGAATGCTTATATGAATCCACCCATCCTTTCATTTTATCTTCACAGCGACTGTATACTAACAGTTGCATCATCAGTGTTTTAAAGATAAAGAAACTTTACAAGGCCAAAACAAACTAGATGCAAAACCAGGTCTATGTGATTTTAATGTCTCTCTCTCTCTCTCTTCCCTTCACCAAGAAAATGTCTGCACACAACTGGGTCTTATGCAGCCCCCACAAGGAGGGCCTACTGGTCACAAAGGCTTTCCACTCCATATTCATTATTCTACTGCAGGGTCCTCAGAAGCATCGCTGTGATGTGAAACCATGGGGCATGGTTACCACAGTGTTTAGGAACTCAGTAAGACCAGCCCCAGCATCTGAAGTGTGCATTGGTCAGCCTGTGCCTTTTATGGCCACACAAACTAATCTCCAGGAATAACAAGACAGTGGGTTCTGTGACATTCAATTCTGCCCTTGTAGTGTGTACACTGGCCATTCAGTGCAAGTGCCCCATGCAAACAATGGGCAAACTATTAAACTTTTTCCAGGAGTAAACATGGCCTGTCTTTCTGAGTATGTATTCTCATACTCAGAAATAGAGCCTTCAGATTATGAAATACCCAGAGATACTTTCTTTCTACCCTTGCCCTCAACTTTCATAAGAAAAATAAATGAGCCATTATCAGAAGTTTCTTCTAGAAATAACTTCCAGGGAAGCCCTGAGGTCAGTTTGGATTCAGCCCAGTCTTCTCACTGTCTGTTTGATGGTGCAAAGATAATTCAAGTTCTTAACGATGACTGAATCATCACGATCCTGAATCATAGTGGATTAAGCTACATTTGCTGAACAGCTAGTAATTTCTAAAACAAGAAAATAGGTCCATATTTTAAAAAGAAGTTATACAAGTCCGAACAACAGCAAGCATCACATTTAGCCGAAGACAACCAGAACACTAAATTTTCCAAAACACCACTTACTCTTAAATGTCCACAGCAATGGCTGTCATAGAAAAGTCTAGCATAATTCAAGGCCAGTATAATTGACTCTTGTACACGAATAATTTTACAGGAGACAACATTGTAATTCAAATCAATGAATGATTGAGTCTGGCTATAAAAGCATAAACAGAACTTTTGAAAGAATTGCTCACCGTTCTCTCTTGCTAGAAACCATTTGAATTTTAGCCAGAAAACATACACCCAACAAGAACAACTCTTTGCCTTCCTTAGTGTTTAGTGTAGACTATGCCCCCACCCCCGACCAAAGAATTAAGCATTAGTCATCAAATTCATTCTACAAACAACAAAATTACTCAGGTTCCAAAGTTTTCATCTGTTTCAACATTGAGAGCCAAATCTGACGCCCAGACAACACATGGTTTTACTTCTTGGTACAAAAATAGGCACAGAGTTTTCAAGGGTTCTAAGTTTCCAGTTTGGAGCTCAGAATTTTCCAACCCCTTCTTCTAACTCCCACCTGCCTCATAGCAAGTCATCTTCACCAAAGCCAGAAATAAGAGCCAAAGAGAGTTGATCAACCCAGAACCCAGCAGGAATTATGAGGCAGAAATAAGCCACGGTGGAATACTTTAAGAAACCAGTCACTTAGACAATTATGCATAAGGTACAGGAATTCTGCATTTTTCCCTAATTGAACTATTTTCTATGTGCCAGCAGCCTTATTGCATTGATAGAAACTTGATCTTAGTCAGCTCGGTGTTTTTTCCCCTGACCTCCTATCTCTGGAATTGACTTTAAGCTTCCAAGGGCTAATACAGCATTAGGAGTGGGAGATGATGTGAGAGCTAGCTTTCTACCCTCTCTCTGTTCTGACTTCTTCAAGAACCCATGCACATTGTCCCACCATCAATTCACAGAGATTCCCAAATCCTGGCTCCTCATTGTCTTGACCACCAGAACTTTCTAGGCCAGCTGATTCTCTCTTCATCAGTCTTAGCCTCCTACAGAATATTCTGCCACTGAGGGTCATGCAGAACCACTTCTGGTGTGTGATTCCGGGATAATGCCATAAGCATGAACCCCAAACCTCTCCAATGTTTTTTTTTAATTGTGAAAATACTGTACAGAGAGGTTACAATTACATGGGCAAGATAATGAATACATTTCTTATCAAGCATTGTAGCCTCCTCCTTTGTTTCCCCTTCCCATCCCTTCCCATCCTCCCCAGTCCCCCCCCCACCTAATCCTCCTCCCCTCTCACCACCAAAGTTGTAAAGTTCATTTTCAACATAAGGACTTGTACATCTCATTGTTGCAATGGGTCCACCTGTATCCCTATTTAAACAATTTGTTTTTTCCCTTCCCCTCCACAAATTATACTGACATCAAATACAGTGAAAGCAGGGGTTATACCGTGGGGGAGGGACATACAAAGCAACAAAAAAATAATCTTATAAATGTGTTAGAAACAATTGCATGAAAGAAAAAAACATTTGAATACATATCTTAGGATTCATTTCCCTAACATCAACTTATCTGACCTTTCCTGCTTGACTCAAACATATACTAGTTATTGCAAATAAGGAGAACCATGGGACCTATGTTTCTTTGGGCCTGGCTTACTTCACTTAATATAATTTTTTCCAAGTCTTTCCATTTCCTAACAAATGGGGCAATGTCATTCTTTCTGATGGAGGCATAGAATTCCATTGTGTATATATACGACATTTTCTTCATCCATTCATCTACTGAGGAGCATCTGGGCTGGTTCCATATCTTAGCTATGGTAAATAAGGCTGCAATAAACATAGTTGTGCTGGTAGCTTTAGTGTGGTCTTGTTTGTGAACATTTGGGTAAATGCCCAAAAGTGGAATTGCTGGGTCATAGGGGAGCTCTATGTGGAGTCTTTTGAGGAACCTCCATACTGCTTTCCAAAGTGGTTGAACAAGTTTACAATCCCACCAACAATGAAGTAAGGTTCCCTTCTGTCCACATCCCCTCCAGCATCTGTTGTTAATAGAGTTCTTGATTTTAGCCATTCTAACTGGGGTGAGGTGGTATCTCAATGTTGTTTTGATTTGCATTTCTTTTTCTTCATGTGTCTATTTGCCATCCTTCTTTCCTCTTCAGAGAAGTTTCTCTTTAAGTCTTTAGCCCACTTATTTATTGGGCAGTTGTTTCTTTGAAGATTTGTTGTTGGGGGATTTAATTTTTTGAGTTCCAGGTATATTTTAGACATGAGACCCTTGTCCGTTGTATGGCTAGTGAAGATCTTCTCCCAATCTGTGGACTTTCTATTGATCTTGCTAGCTATGTCCTTTGCCACGCAGAAGCTCAGAAGAGATGCCACTCAGTGCTCCCTCTGACAGTGTCACAGTGGCTACTCCTGTCACATTCCCTACCCAACCCAATCTACACCAGGCAATCCTAATTTCTTCTATGGAGAAATAAACCAGACTCAAAGTAACAGAGCATATATCAAAATAGTAGTACTGGAGAGGGTTGAAATCCAAATATTCAAGGAAAGTCACAGGAGAAATAAAAGCCAAATAGGTGGTCTCCCAGGAAAAAATGTAATAGACCAGACATACAATTAAGGTTTTTAAGTGAATGAAAGTAATTTGGGATCTAAGTAGAAGAGGAAAGGCAGTAGGTACTTGTCCAGTGCAGACAGACTTCCAGTGTAGACTTTCTACAGGCCTGCTGTTGGGATGAAGACCTAGATTCTGAAATAGGATAAAGAACTCCAGAAATGGAACCTAGAGGTTTTACTTTGTTGTTGTTGTTGTCAATGTACTGCATGAAGTTATTTCTTTTTTCTTTCATTCTTTTTGTTTCTTCCTATGGCTTATCCTTTGTTGTCACTGTATTTGATTTTGGTAGCCTGTGTATTATATATACATTCATCAAATAGTGAGACAAAGGACAAAGAGTGAACCAATGCAATAATGACACTCACAAGACGCTATATTGGAAAGGTACTTTATGCCTGGGGGTGGGGGAGGGATTTGGAGGAGGGAAAGTGGGAGAAAATAATGAAGGGGGTAGCAATAAAAAAATAATTTAAAAAAGGGGTAGCAATGTTCAACAAGAAATGTACTCGCTACTTTATAGATGTAACTGTAACCTCTCTGTACATCTCCTTGACAATAAAATTAAATTTTGTAAAAAAAGACCTGGGGGGGAAAAGACAAAATTTCAGAATGGCTCTGCTCATTTGTTTATTTAAATAAATTACTACTGACTGAGTAGCCCTCATCCACACTGCTTGAGATCATTGTACAGTACTAATGTGGCAAGCACTCTCAATAGAAAAAAAATGGAGGAATGAGATTATACTTGAATTTTATACTCCTCACCATCTACTGTAGGGTCTAAGCTTATAAGAGCTTACAATTGTCTGTTTATTTTTTAGCCATTTTCTTGATGCTTGTTTCTCCAGCTAGACTATAAATCTTACAAGGACAGAGATAACACTATTGTACCTTACTCTTAGCAGTCTTGAATATATGGTGAAATCTTTATATGTGTTGTGTAAATGAATGATGTCCATCATGGGTGGTGTTAGGGAATTGGGCAGGGGTTTAACATCAATAAGATGAAAGGAAACAACATTAATTGTCAGGCACAGCAGGAGCAGAAGTGAGACTTCTGCATAAGACAAAAAAAAACCTCCAAAAAATATCTGACTTCTAAAAACTAGAAACATGTTGCCCATTGGTTGAAGGAGCCATCAAGGAAATTTCCCATTCATTTTGGATTCTGAGGAAAGTCTGCTCACCTACAAGGGGTGCCAACAAATAAAGACAGACTTGGAAAACACAAGGCTTCCATTTACTAACCATTTGAAGACTTCAAACAAGAAAGGGGATAAAAAGAACATTCTAGATCCGTCCCAACTTTCCAAACATGTCATTATACCACAACCCTCCAGGGAGAGGCTATAAACATTCAACAGTATAGCTCACCATACTGGTCCCTTAATGAGCCTCTGGCTTCATTGACCTAATGAGATATCTTGTGTTTTTCAGAATGCCGAGGCAAGTTATGACTTCAGCAGCAATGACCCCTATCCATACCCTCGGTACACTGATGACTGGTTTAACAGGTAAGCCATGCCTTGTGAGCATCTTTGACAGTGGGCTTTAGGGTTTTGCTTTATTTTGTTTTGCCTAAGGGTTGAATAGTACCATGAAAACCATCTCAATGTTACATCCCCTTATGTTGGAGTTTTCTTTCTACTTGGTGGCTATATGCTCTGAATGTGTGGAGATTTTTCTAATACTATAATGATCCTCAAGAATTACCTTTTGACTATTTTGCTCTGTTGAACTAGGAATAAACTGCCTGTTAATATATTAAAGATAGGATAAAACAGAAAGAAGAAATCTTTTACTACAAGGGAAATTAAAAGAAAAAAAGAAAGACAGCACTCTGATTTTGCTTGAACTGTTAAAACCATTGCTGAAGAACTTTTTGCTTCATGGGCCTATATTGGTGTGTTTTTGAAAAATGTTTCTGCTTATAACCTTACAATTACTCATGTAGTAAATGACAAAGAGTAAATATAGTTGGCAAAGGTTTGAGGCAATGTCGGGGATAAAGAGTGTGTGTGTGTGTGTGTGTGTCCATGCACACGCGCGCGCGCGTGTGTGTGTGTGTGTGTGTGTACACTAGTATGGGAGTTTGAACTTGGGGCTTCATGCTCTTGCTCAGCTTTTTTGCTAAAAAGACAAAGGCCACTACATAAACCATATATCTACTTCCAGCTTTTTACTGTTTAATTGGGGATTTTTTTTTAATCTCAGATTTTTCTGCCCAGACAGGCTTCAAAACACAATCCTCAAATCTTAGCCTCTTGAGTAGCTAGGATTACAGGCATAAGCAACTGGCACCCATCCATGGGGAATAGAGTTTCAACTGTACAAAACTACCCAAATGGTCCACCCAAATAGATTTTTACCCTATTGTACTACTAAAGATATAAATGTGCTTTCTGTTTCAGTGAAGTAAATGCCTTGTTTTGATGGTTAACTGCACAAAGAAATATCAAGAAATTAAGATACAGAGCTTGTATACAGTCAGAATTTTCAATGTAATATATGAAAATGGAACATAGTAAGCTGAAGGGATGGGTAGAGTTGGGATAGATGGAGGGGAGACTGATGGAAGTGATGACATTGATGGGGATGCATTGTATTCAAAAATTGACATGTTGAATTGAAACCTCTTTGCACAACTGCTTAATCTGGCAAACAGTTCTGCAGTGCTTTGATGTGTGTGTTCGGAGAATAAGAATTTATTTAAAATGTCTAAGAACTTTGGGAGTGAATTTAGTCCATGTCTTATAACCCTAGATCCTAATGTCTGTTTAACAAACTATCCGCAGACACAGGGATATGAAGTTAACAAATAAATGTCACTACAGCAGGGGTTAGACGTAATTGGCAATAACAGGCTGGAACACTGTGTTGAGTAGGGCCAGCTTCAGCCCAAATGTTTGCCAGCTCTCTGCATGTATATCAGAAAAGAGAGAGGCAACATGTGTAACAACCACTTGCTATCTCTCTGGAAGTCTTAGGTACTAAATTAATTTTGATAAATTGGCCCAGGCACAAAAATATAACCAAGCAAAGTTTTTTCCCAAACCCCATATTTCAAATCCAAGCACAATCTCCCTCAAATCAAGTCTTTTGTGAGATGATATGAGACTAGTCCTTTAAAAAAAACTTAAGGCAATGTCTTCTCTCAAATATTTTCATTCACAAACTTTTTTTAAAAGTACCATTCTAAACCACCTTAAAACCTGTAATTAGACCTAATTAGTGTTTCGTGTAATAAAATCCATCATTGTCGGCAGTAACAAATCCCAAGGGTCCATTTACCCAGGGACATTGTGATAGTGACTCAGACAAGCATGATCCCCATGTCCTAGGAAGCCAATGACTCAAGACAGGGTGTCCATTTTGACCACTGAATGGTTTTCCCCAATTATCAGGTCATTTTCTAAGATCCCCATCCACCATGGCTTGTTACTACCAAGATTAGATGATGCCCTCCTTGACTCCTGTCCTCTCAAAACTAACAATGAAAGAATGATGTTGAAGTTCAAGCCTACAATGCTGGGAGAATCCTTAGTCCAAAATGTTGGCACCGGCTGGGCATAAGGAAGATTTAAATAACTTACCTTTCTCCTAAGAGGAGGGTATATTCTCTCGAAATTCCCACCAGGATGAAATGACATTATATTTTGTTTCTTCTTCTTTGTATCTATAGCTTAAGGTAGAAGGTTAGTGAATAGGTTGGGCTGTTGATAAAACAATAATTGATAAAGCTATAAGATGGGTGACATGGAGCTCACTCTACTTTTGTATGACTTCAAGGTTTCCTACATATACACGAGTCAGATATCCATTGCTGTGACAGATTCCTGTCTGAGAAAGACAAAATAAGAACATTAAGATTTCTTTGGGCTTACAATTTCAGAGGTGTCAGTCCATCATTATCTGGCTCCATTGCTTTAGGCGTGAGTCAAGGCAGGATATCAGGGTGGTAGGAGTGTGGAAGAGTAAAGCAGCTCACCTCAAAGAGGACCGGAAGCTGAGAGAGAAAGACAGAAGGCATCCAGGGAAAGGTCTAGGCCCCAAGGACACTCTTTGTGGAAATGTGAATGACTGTATGGGCACTCCGAGTGACTCATCTCCTCCAGCTAGGCTGTACTTCCCAACATCTCCAGGACCTCCAAGAATAGTGCCACCCACAATGCAATAAGAAGTTTACCCATGGGGCTGGGAAGGTGGCTCAGTGGTAGAGCGCTTGCCTTGCATGCATGAGGCCCTGGGTTCAATTCCTCAGTGCCACATAAGCAGAAAAAAACCGGAAGTGGCGCTGTGGCTCAAGTGGTAGAGCACTAGCCTTGAGGTAAAGAGCTGAGGGACAGCGCCCAGGCCCACAACCGGATCCCCTCCCCGCCCAAAAAAAGAAGTTTACCCAAAATGCATAGCATATTTAAAAACAGGCAGGAGTTCTATACTACTTATAAGACTACTAGTTTTGGTGTGCAAGCTTTTGGAGGGCTTGCAGGATCATATAAGGAAGAAACACATGCTCAATGCCCTACAGTTCAGATGTGGTCAGCACTAAAATAGCACTAACATAGCATACTGAGGAAAGCTAACACACATTGAACAGTTACTCTCTTTAAGGCCCTGATTCAAGGTTTTATATGTACTCATTCAATTAATTCTCATAATAATCTTCTAAACAGATATTAATAAAATCACCTCACTTTGGAAACCAAGGCACAGAGAGTTTAATTAATCTGCACAAGGTCCCATGGCCAATAAGTAGTAGAAACAGGTTTGCATGGGGACTATTGGCCCAGAATCTGAGAAGAGGTAATAAGTAGACTTGGAGGTGGGGCAAATATCCAAATTAGGCAAAGATAGTGAGACAAAGATGGAGGAACAAGTTATATTTGGGAGGTGGCTTGGATAACTGGTATGGGAGTTGGAGACTGCAGAGAGTTGTATTCTAAAAAGGGTTGACGGAAGAGATGAGAGGAAAGATTTAAACAGGTTGCTAAGAAGAGAAGAGTTTACAGTTGGCTAAGAAGCCATAAGTGATTATTCTTTCCCCATTACATTCATGGAGCGTCACTACCTGGAGGCCCCATGGCCTTGAGCTCAGCATCTGCCTTTGTCCAATACAGGAGCTGCTACTGATCCTTCATGAGTCTCTCACCAATTCCACAGCCATAGAGCCATGCTGTGTTCTCCTCAGGTGCTCTTCCTTGACCTGGGCACCGAATCTTGCCCCTCCTCTCTGTTCAGCCTCTTGGGGGCCTTGAGCAATGCTCAGTTCCACATACACTGACATTCCAATAAAGACTGGCTGTCGCTTTACGAGAAAGGAGTTGTTGCTATTAATTATTTCAGCCACACTGCTTGCCACAAAGGCTTGTTAGAACACAGAAGTGATTGCTGCCTGGGCGTCCACAGCAGCTCTCCATCATGGGGTCGCCATTTGCTGTGGGAAGTAGAAAATAAAACACACTACAAGAAACGCCCTCAAGCAAACATGTAAAATGTTCCCCTTGGATGAGAAACCACGTTCAAAAGCATCCCATCCCTCCTGGGTTCTCCTGATGCTTTAAACCATTGCAGCACACTCTGTGCACTTAGTTCCCTTCATGTCTACTTTTCATTTTCTTTTTAGCAATCAATCCTGGTGTTTGAACTCAGGGTTTCATGCAGGTGCTCTATCACTGAATCCACACATGCAGACCACCATGTACATTTCTTTAAGAACAGATCTAAAACTCTTAAGCCAGGCACTACTTATGAAAAAAGCAAAACTGCTTTTTGTAACTATGTATATCAGAATGTCTTGACCAGTGCTTGATTGGATTTGGTAAGATTGTTCCTTTTAATAAGCAGAGCCAGTATATTTATTCCATGATCAACTAGTTTAATAATTACATGCAGTATTTCAGCTCCAGTTCCGAAACAGTTGAGAAATTTGCAAACAGAGTATGATTGTTGCCGAGCTCGCATTCAGAGGACTACATTTGACCAAACAAAGTAACAATGGTAATAACTCAAGTTATAAAAAGGGAGGAAAATGTTACAAATCTAATGAGCATCAATAATGTGCATAACAGATATAATTGATTTGCTGGGAGGCATCAGGATCTAACATCATATTTTTTTCCTGGCTGGCATTCAGTAAATATTGATCGACTGGGTGATAGATGGGTGACCTACCTTCTCAGTCATGCTGAGATGTTGAACAGCCTTGACATCTGTCCATTTTAAGTCTGCCTGCTACTCACAAGGTTTGTGGCCCACATTCTGTCAATAATCTTGCAGCCTGGCTCAGTGTTAAGTCAATGTTTGGTGATGCATTGCGGATCTGTATTCCATTACTGCACGGTTGTCCATAAAAATCTCTCTTGCATAGCATTTCTTTGACAGGCGTTCACCACTGAAATGTCATCCCTGCCATCAGTGATATTTATGAGGTTACAAAAGACACAGTACACTCTATCTATTAAGTCCTAAAAGAGTAAGAGAATATGGATTAGATGCAATTCCTGAATGCAAAAAG